ATGAGATTGATCCAGTCTAGGAGAGAAACAGAGCCAGGCAGTGGTGGCACACGCCTTTAACACCAGTGTTTGGGAAGCACACTAATCCCAGCAGTAGGAAGGCTGAGATAGGAAGTGAAATGGCTGGGTGAAGAAAGGCATGTAAGGCTCGAGGAGTCAGGAACTAGAGAGCTCCTTCTGCTGAGGACTCGAATTCAGTCTGAGAAATCGTGGAGAGAGGATTGACTGCAGAGTTGGCAAGGTGAGAAGCAGCTGTGGCTTGTTTCCTCTGATCTTTCAGCATCTACCCCAACATCTGGCTCTGGGTTTTTATTATCAGACCATTTAGGATTACTGAACTATATGAGTGTTCCCCTTGTTCCACATCCTTGCCAGCATGAGCTGTCATTTGTTTTATTGATTTTAGCCATTCTGACAGGTGTAAGATGAAATCTCAAAGTAGTTTTAATTTGGGTTTTTTTGATGACTAGGGATATTGAACATTGCTTCTTAGCCATTTGTTTCCTCTTCTGAGAATTCTCTGTTTATACCTGTACCCCACTTTTAAATTGTGCTATTTGTTTTCTGAATATCCAGGGTTTTTTTTTTAGTTATTTATATATCTCAGATATTAGCCCACATCAGATGTGTTGGTTAAAAAAAATTTCCATTCTATAGACTGTTGTAGCTAATTTTCACTGTGCTTGATTTTTGCCATTCATCTGCTTTGAAATATTTGTGTGTGTGTGTGTGTGTGTGTGTGTGTGTGTGAGAGAGAGAGAGAGAGAGAGAGAGAGAGAGAGAGAGAGAGAGAGAGAGAAAGGCTGTCCTAGAACTCACTTAGTAGACCAAGCTGGCCTTGAACTCACAGAGATCTGCCTGGGATTAAAGGTGTGGGTCACACCACCAGCCTACTTTGGAATCTTTTTTTTCTTTCAGTTCCTGTCTTTTATTTATCCATACACAACTGCTTGTCTTCTGGTTTGTTGAAGCAGTACGTCAGACAACATTTGCCACAGTACTGTCTGTCCAAGTGGCTGGCCATGAAAACTCCAGCACCACCCTCATCAGAAGGACACTCTTGACGAAGACGGCTAATTTTGCCATTTTCATCCACCTTATAGTACTTTAGTACAGCCAACTTAACCTTCTTCCTCTTATGCTTATTCTTCTTGGGAGTGGTATAAGACTTCTTCTTCCTTTTCTTAGCACCACCACGAAGTCTCGACACAAGATGAAGGGTGGACTCCTATTGAATACTGTAGTCAGACAAAGTACGTCCATCTTCCAGCTGCTTACCAGCGAAGCTCAGCCTCTGCTGATCAGGAGGAATTCCTTCCTTATCCTGGATCTGGGCCTTTACATTTTCTATAGTGTCCGAAGGTTCAACCTCGAGCGTGATGGTTTTCCCCATAAGGGTCTTCACAAAAATCTTCATCTTGCCGGGCGGTGGTGGCGCACGCCTTTAATCCCAGCACTCGGGAGGCAGAGCCAGGTGGATCTCTGTGAGTTCGAGGCCAGCCTGGACTACCAAGTGAGTCCCAGGAAAGGCGCAAAGCTACACAGAGAAACCCTGTCTCGAAAAACCAAAAAAAAAAAAAAAAAAAAAAAAAAAAATTTAAAAAAAAAAAAAATCTTCATCTTGGCGGCGGCGGCGGCGGCGGCGGTTCCACCACAGATGGCGGATTGGAAAGACTGCTTTGGAATCTTAAATTGTCATTTCCACGGTGACATCTGCTCCACCAGGGTTTTTCCAGAGTCAAAGGGCATAAAACATGTTCAGTGGTTGGCAGGGTTTGCGGTTCTGTGAAATGTAACCTGCTTCTGTCCTCTGCATAGGGCTTGGCTAGGAAGCCAGCCAGTCATGTAACTTTACTCTTCTTTTGTGTTCTCACACAGAAAGCAAATTGTACACAGAGCAGACCACCCACAGGATGATGATGACAAGCACTGATATCCATTAAACACCATGTGCCAGAATGTGTTCTCAGTGAGGTACTGCTTTGGAAAGTACCTTCCTCTTAGATTTTGTCTTGTTTTGTTGGAGGCATGGCTGGCCCTGGCTAAACTTTTTATGTAGACTAGGCTGTCCTCAAACCTTCTGTGATCCTCCTGCCTCTGCCTCCTGAGTGTTAGGATTGGAGGTACATCTCCCAACACCTCTTAGATTTTCTATTCTCAAGATTGTCCCATAGGTACTTCAGTCTTAAATATTCTTCGTGTGTGTGTGTGTGTGTGTGTGTGTGTGTGTGTAGCTAATTTACTTTCTACAGCGTAGAACTAAGAAACCGCAGATAAGGCTGGATGTGGTTGCTCACATATGTAATCCCAGGACTTACATAAGTAGTTCCAGGAGGATAAAGCAGAAAGATCGAGAGTTTGAGGCTAGCCAAAACTATGCAAGACTGGGTCTCAAACAAACAAGGACCGAAAAACAAATAACTAAGTCCAAGTATGATATCACGTGCCTATTATGCCAGCATTCCCGAGGCATGCAGAGGTAGGAGACTGCTGCAGGATCCAGGTCAGCTTGGTTCACACACTGAATTCCAGAGCAGCCAAGGTAAACAACACAAAACAATGATGAAAAAGTGCACGATGAGGAAATAATTGTTTCTATGGAGAAGACTCCTTTTTTCCCCCCTGTAACCTTGGCTGTTCTAGAACTTGCTCTGTAGAGCTCAAATTCAGAGATCCTCCTGCCTCTACCTCCCGAGTGCTGGAATTAAAGGAATGCACCACCACGGCCCAGCTCAAATTTTGCTTTTATAATGTAAAGTTATTCTAAGCATTTAACACAGCAGGCTATGTAAAATAATCCACACCCTTTCTTTGCAATTGCTTTGTAACAATTGTTTTCTTAACCAACCACAAGAAATCAGGAGAGATTCTGTAAGTGTAAGCAGTATGGAGTTACAGTTACAAAGACAGGCTCAGAAGCCAGACAATTTGCATTTGAATCCAAGCCTTGCCCTATTCTAGCTGTGAGGTATTAGATAGTTTTCTTTTTTCAGCTGCAGATGAGAATCAAAACACTACCTAGCACAGTCACTGTGAGGCTAAATTAGAAAACATACGATTGTTTATAAAGTCATTTGCTGCAGATCAGACATTAGAGGATTATTAGTGATACACAGGTTCTTTTGACACACATAGGAAACTTAACAATTAATCCATATGTATTGTATGTATATATCCATGTGTATGTGTGTGTGTGTGTGTGTTGTTTTCATTTTGTTTTTGAGAAACGGTTTTGTGAATCCCAGACTGTCCTCAGAGTTGCTGTGTGGCTGTGTGAGGATGACCTCACACTTCTGATCCTCCTGTCCCCACTTCCTGGGTTTATAGACATGCACCACCAATCCTGATGCTGGGGATTAAACACAGGGCTTAATGTATTCTAGGAAAGCGCTCAACAACTGAGCTACATGCTGAACATTGATTTATTTATTTACTTACTTACTTACCTTACTTATTTCTATGTAGCCAGGGGCTCAACATTTAGCCCAGGCTGGCTTTGAACTAGAGAGCCTCCTGCCTCATCCTCCTGAGTGCTGAAATTAATGGCACATGTCACCACACCTGGCCCATGATTCATTATTTTCATAAAGAAGACTTCACTAATGATGAGAAAACAATATAGAGACTGTTCAGGTAGTTTTAGGTGGGACCCCAAAAGCAATCAGTTCTAATGCTTGTCCTTGGCTGGAAGCTGGACAAGTCTTTGGTTCTGTCTTGTTCTTGATCTTGTTCTGCCTCTTTCTCTTTTTACATAGTCTAAAGGAGTGAGTAATAAAATAATAATCCCTTCTCCATCAACCATTAACAGCCAAATAGCTCTTCCTTGAGAGGCGGGGCCTCATGAGCCCTTACAAACCCCATCTTCAGCCGGTATCCATAGGGGCAGTGAGTTCATGAATTAGTTCAATGTCCACGTCATGTCCACGTCCAGTAGATAGTGGGCATCTGGTTTTCAGGATATAAAGTTAAATGACTTCCTAAGAGTAAGATTCTAATCTGTTGGGACTGGCGACCTTGATAAGAGCAAAACTTTGTCTCTTTTTCCTCTTAACACATGCAATAAGAGCAAGCCATGGAAGGACAGAGAAAGAAGGTGACTCCCTACCAGTCCAGAAGAGGGGCCTCGTGGAAAACAGCCCATTCCTTAGGCTATTGTCATTCAAACCCTCCTGGGGAGATGAACAAACGTCTGTTCACCCCACAGAAGGCATCAGTGGCAAGCCAAAGGAACTGGTCCACGTCCCGTTTATTGAACCAGTGAGTTCAATTGTGGTTATTTGCAAGGATGTGGGGAAGGGGTTACGTACATGTGTGGGCAATTGATGTACAGCTAGGCCATCTCCACTAGCTGCCCTCAATTGCTTATGCAGTCTCAGCGAGGGGAGGGGTCACGCGATTCCCTTCGCTCCCTCCATGACAGAATGACTTGGTGGGAATGATACAGATGTCTCATTTAGGGCTGGACTTGCAACAGTCACTTACTCTCACCATTCTGGCCGGTTTTGAGTTTCTTCAGTAACCGGTACTCACTGCAAATGAAGTCTTCCTGATGGAAGCTGACAACAGCAATAATTTGCGGGCATAAATGTAAGTATTTAGAACATAATTTGACAGGTACATTGTATCCATTAAGAAAAAAAAAAAAAGCTTCCCCACGAGGGCCTACAATGTCTGCAGCCACGGGCTTTTGATCAACTGTACCAGACATGAACTTCCACTTGTGGAACGGGCCTCAAATCCAATCATAAGTATTGGTTACACTCACAATAGTCAGGCTGCTATTGTACTAGCAGATATATCCTGCCAGGAGTGTTGACAGTGTAGCATTCAGGGTCCAAGGCCAACTAGGATCATGGATATCAACCCATCCCCACCTCCAAGCCCCACCCCCAGGACCTGCCTAGCACCTTCAGCACGACAAAAGCTCACCAGCAGGGAGGAAGCTTCTAACTCAATGCCAGCTTGATTGTACCATGTCCTGTAAGCAAAGCACATAGTTAATTGAGCAATAGGGCCTTACAATTTGTTCCCGTAAACAATCAACAGTAGTAGCGATTGTCTCATTTTGGAGCATTCCGCAGCCTTCTTGGCCAGCAACCGGTGGGTGGGGAGAAAAGGCCCACCCCTGATACTAGGATTTTGTGGTTTCTGAGAATGTCTCTTTCCAACCACTCATGGTACCTTCCGTCAGCCTTTTTAACCATTGTTTTAATGTTTACAGGCACAGAACTGTAGAATTTGTCTCACCCTGTTTGGTGTCCAGCTTGGCTCTATCAAGTGTTACACTTTCATTTGAACTCTCATTTGAACTGAAACATTCAGCCCTGGAGGAAGGCTCTTCAAGACTCAAGAAGAAACAAAACTTAAAGGACCCAGAGGTTAGCATCATTTCATCTGGGTAAAGGACCCAGAAAGTGGACAACTCACAAATCCCTAAGGCTGAATAATCAGTAACAGCTGCTAGAGACAAGAGACTCCCCAAGTGGAGAAGCTGCCTGGAGGAGACTGTCCCACCAGTCAAGCTACCTGCAAGTCATGCAGAGATGCAGCTTTCATGAGTCATCACCCAGGCTAGGATGGGCCTTTTGGTGATGTAGCTGTTTTTGAGTCATCTATGCTTCTGTAAGAAAATCTCACTCACACTCAGGTAAGTATTCCCAATTAACTCATTGGTTCACCAAAGTGAACTTCAAGGAAATCATTTCTTTGAGCTGTTGTTAGTTCCTTATCTGGGGTGAGTACAATTTTGCTTATGTCTCCCCAGGAAAAGTTCCACAACACCCAACCATAAAGCACTCATGGGTGTCACAGCCATGCTTGGCCCTTGCACCTTGTGTGAACTGACCTCCCACCCTCCTTCCCTTAGGTGTACTTGCTTGTCTCTTGGCAGCTTTTCTAAATCTGTAAAACACCCAGAGGTTAGCATCATTTCATCTGGGTAATGAAACCCTCCTGCAGAGGGTGAGCAGGTTCACCGAAGGGCTATCATCCATCACAGCCAGCAAATGCCAATCGGTCTCAGGAGTCGTCAGCTGAAGGGATACTAAAGAAAAGTGTTAGTCCCATACCCTATTAAAAGAGCCCATTGCTTGGATCATCGCTGTCTCAAAAGATCAACACACTGGGAACAGGGGTGTGAGAGGGAGTCTCTACCTCAGTTAGCTCTCCACAATCTGCAGTCATTCTCTATGAGCTGTCTACCTTCTTCACCCCAACGTGCTGTCTCCACCAAGGGGCCAGATGGGACTCATTCTTCCTGCTCTGACAAGCTCAGCACCAAGGGAGAGCTCCCACCTGGTGAGTCTATACAAACTGCCCGAGTCTGACGTCTCTGGGCCAGTGCTTCATCAGGATGCTTCCAACACTGGTGACGCCAGGCTAGCCCAGTCTCTAACTCCAATATATCTTATGCAGGAGAATAATACACACAGGTTTTTCTGGAGGGGATAACTGCCCACTACTGGAACAAGCAGCCTTTTCCACCCCCACTGCTATCATTCATACCATCAATAAACTTTTCCTCAGGCTTAAGAGCTTCCTGGGGTCTTAGGCTCACTGGATTTGCCCTTTACCAATTGTTTCTTCAGGAACCTTAGCAGACCCAAATGTTGTTGTACTTGTTTTCCAGGGACCCAGACAGACTCTTTTGTCTCTGTCCTTTTGTTTTTCTCAGCCTCCCCATTGAATGCTTTAGCACATTAGGGACCTGATCTACAAGTCAATCTAAATCATTCCGAGCCTTTCTCACCTCAAAAAGTTTATGGCCCACCTTGGCTCAACATAGCTAACATCAGCAGGATGGCTCAGTAGGTGTGGCCTCTTGACAAAGACTGGGTTTGGTTCCTAGAACCCACATGGGGAGGGAGGAAAACAGCTTTGCAGGTGTCCTCTGCCCACCATACATGATGTGGCACATGTGAACTCTCTTGTTCTCTCTCTCACACACACAAAAACAGCAAACAAATGTAAAATTTAAAAAAATTGATGGGTATTATATTTAATCTGTATATTAATTTTGATAGTATTGCCATTTTCATGTTATTAATTTTGCCAGTTTAGGAGTATGGAAGGATCTTCTATGATTTCGTTTTCAAGATTTATTTTTATTTATGTGTATGCACGTGTGTGTGTATGCACGTGCGTGTATTCAAGTACCCAGGGAAGCTAGAATAGGGCATTAGAGCCCTTGGATCTGGAATTACAGGTTGTTGTGAGTCACTGATGTGGGTGCTGGGAATTGAATTTGGGTACCCTTAAAGGGCATCAAATGCTCTTGATTGATGGGCCATCTCTCCACCCTGATTTCCTTTTTCAATGTCTTGGAGTTTTCATCGTCTCCATCTAGCACTTCTTTGGCTAGGTTTATTGCAGGTTCTTATTTCTCATTGTTTCTTTTGTTAAGAGTGCATTGTTTATAATATACGGTAGCTTCATATATATATATATATATATATATATATATATACACACACACACATATCCTTTGTATCCTGCAACTTTACTGTGTTTACTAGCTCTAAGAGTTT